TGCCGACCAGATCTACCCAGGATGGAAGGAGAAGCTCGGCTACACCGGCGAGTCCTCGATGCAGGCTGCCAGCTTCGACTGGGCCAAGAAGGCCTAAGTGGATGTAGCCCCTTGGTTTTGCAGTCATACTGCTATCATTCAAGCACCAAGCCCAGACTCACTTCCCTTTTGCCTACGTGCCGAGAGGTTGGACCAGCTGGATGGATCTAGTTCCCGATTGTGAGAATGCTTGGCTGCAGCAGCTTTTAATGAATTGACAGTGCAGGTTTTTGTTTCTTCTCATTGAATTTCCTGTCGGTCCTGGATCAATGTGGGGGCTTGACTTGTTAAACGGGAAGCGCTCCCGTAGATTCTCCCTGGTGTCTGCGGTTCTGTGCGCGCGGCTGCGGCCGCAGACTCCAGACAGTTATCCGAGCTAACTCTTTGTAATAGCATTTTCAGATTGCCAGATTAGACGGATCAGGGCTCGAAGAGCACTTGGAAAATTCGGAACCTTAGGCCTCGCCACAAAAAGAGAAGTGCAGGGAAGGCAACAGTGACGAGAGCTGAGTGTTCGGTTGCAGATCTTGTAGTCGAGTTCTGTCGTGTTGCAGTGATCTGCACCCAGTCGATCGCATGGACACGCATGGAAGGCGCCCGCCTTCTGCAGCCGCTGCAGTGGGTCGACACATATTTCTTCCCTTTTCCGCGTCCCGCAGCACGTTCTTGGGATGGCTCAGCGTCCATCCAACATTGCCCTTGCTGCGGCAGCCGCAGGCGAGCTGTGAAGCTGGTTGGGGGATGCCCCGCGAAGAGAACCTTCGGCCCCACACCCGACGCCTCACAAGCCTTTGACAAACCGATCCTGCGAACAGCGCCCCTCCCCCCCAAAGAAACCCCTACGAAAATCTTGCGGAGAAAAGCCTCAACTCCAAGTCAGCTGAAGAGGCGGTCTTGCACTTCTCGGCTCCACCACCGATGCCTTCGTGGCCACCGCCCCGCAGGCCCCGCAGGAAAATCGGGGACTTCTGTGAGCGATTGTAGGTCCTACGTGGGCAACAGCCCACACCAAGGGATCTGGATTTGCTGAACTCCCGCAAGCTGGCAGGCCAGTGGACCGAGCTTGCGCGGTGCTCCCGCTGCCCGGTCTCAGGCTGGATCAGGGCTGTCTCCGGTGCACTTCTACTGACACTGCTGCTTTTGCTGCTCCTTGTTTGGCTGCCACTGCCACGACTGCTACAAAGACTTGCGAGGCCCAGGAAGCAGCTTCGGGAAGCTCCCTCTCCGCCTCTTGTCAAGCCTTTGGTTGGAGTGAGTGTCGTTGGGTCGGCGTATGTGCCTATGTGCGTACGGGCACGCGTCTGCATGCACTTGCCGATGTCAGCCTTGAGTAAACGCTCGCATCCGATCTTGGACTCCACCGTCTGAGGCTCTCGCCGCTGGTGGTGCTCTTGCCGCAGCGGCCGTGGCTGCCAGCCGCCCAGGCACTCCGTGCTCGTGCTTGCAGCAGCATGTGTGACGGCGGCGTTGATGATGACAGGCCTCGCGCTACTCAAGGCTCCGATCCCAAAGCCCAGAGCCACAAACAATTTGGGTCATGGGTTGAGGGCCTGAGGTCCTCACGGCTTTAGCTAGGATGTTGGGTTCCAATCGTTTTTAGAACTTCAAGCCAGTGTCGGAACCCATGCGGCAACTTATCGGGACCTACCAGAAGCAGGACGCCAGACACGCAGCACCATCCTGCCTACGACTGTGGTGCCCGTGAAGGCCATTGCCTGCTTGGGATTAGACTCTTCGAAGGGTTTTGGCTCAGTGCTCGGGAACAGAACCAAACGCGAGAACCTCTGCGCAGAGAAACTCTGGTCGGATCCTTACTAGTTTCTAGTTCCTTGTACACTCGACCGCGAGCACCGGACCACGAGGTTGGAATCTACCCTGAAGCCCTTACACCGCTCGGTTGCTACTACTTGTATCGCGTATGCGACGATTTGCTGTGTTGCTGTTAGTTGCGGTTGTTGCTGTGCGCAGATACGGTTATGCTTCGTTCTGATTGTGCAAGATTGTGCAGGACAGCCGGGTGGCACGCAGGGCGCTGGACCAGTCCAGCCGCTACGCAGACCTCTCCCTGGACGAGGCCACCCTGATCAAGAGACTCAGCTGCAGGTTGGCACATGAGAGGTGCAGGTGAACTCTTGCAGGCCCAGGAGCGCAATGGAGATCCAGATGGACT